GGCAGTACCCAACCTAAATCCTAAGCCCGAAACCCGACCTGCTGGAAGAAAGACTGCGACCGGTCTGCGAGGGTCACGTCATTGGGCATGTAGTAGCAAACGCTCAGGGCGGTATCCTTGGCTCAATATATAGGGATTGTACAGGGACATATGATATACAATATACGGACTGTACAGGTACATATGTAATGTTAGTTCTTGGGTGGAAATATAGGGCTTATACAGGGACATAAACCCTAAACCATAAACCCCTAAACCCCTAAAGCCTAAACCCTAAACCCCTTAACCCCTAGTATATATCGGGCTTATACAGGGACATATCAGCGTTTTGGGAGCTGGAAAACGCACCGTGTCGGGCCAAATTGCTGAGTCTTTCCAACAAACTGGAGGGTACAGCTCAGTCCACATATATATATACACTACTATATAGAATATTGTAATATATCTAGTTTATATATATATATATACACATATAATATCGTGATATATACATATATATATATGTACATGTATATATATATATGTGTGTGTGTATGTGTATGATATAGATACAATATTTTAGTTGTATTGCCGGCATGTTTGCTGTAGTCTTGCTGGACCTGGCAGCAGCCTAGATTGTAAAACTGCATTAACTCAGAAGCTTTGCACCTAGACTTCTACTGGTGCTTAAGGGGGAGTGGGGCAGTGAATGTGGGTACCATTATAGGGGTATTTGTAGGGACTAATATAGGGATCCGCTCCTTAAGCACCAGTAAGTACTTTGGAGGTCACATCAAAATCCGCTCTTAACCAACCTTTACACCAATGCTTCTCTGCAGACCGTACTGTTGGAATGTGCCCCCGACTGCGAACCCCGAGATGAGAGAGGCTGACAACCTACAACTACCTCAAAAGCAGATGGAAAATTGATGAAAATTGTATTCCAGATCCTGAAGCACGGAAGACATGGACATGCTAAAGTCTTAGTACCATTCCAGTATGGTGAAGGCAGGAGCCCGTTCTTAACGCAGTGCAGTTCATCTCAGCGCCAAAACGAACTCTATGGAGTTTAAATGAACCTTTCCAGCCACAAACTCCATTAAAGCCCAAAACTGCCTCGGCAATTGAGGGCCTTGAGCTGAGCCCCAGCTAAGGCCCGAGCGAAGAGATAGGCCTGAGGTCAGCAGAGTGTTGCTGTGAGCTTGGAGGCTGCAAGACTCATGGAACTTCAGGCGTGAACCCATTGCGAGGCTTGAACTTACGGACCTGAGTCTAGTTTTCTTGAGTTTGCTAAGGTAGGTGTGGGGGCCCTATAAAACTTACGCGTTTATGGCTTTATGAGGATATATAGGCGATTGCGGGTAAAAATAAGAAATTCATATGTTCAAACCTACCCCTGTTTGGGGTACGTAAAACTTATGTCATACAAGTACATTGAGGTACCTGGCCCACGACAAAGTCTCCAGAAAACTGAAACTGGGGGATTCTCAAAAAAGGCCCCCTTCACGGATAGGAAGAGCATATGTTGGCACACATGGTAATAATGGCATTGAGAACTGGGAACGCAAGGTTTTGTCAAGTGCTGTATAGTTCAAAGTACTGGATCACTGGATCCTAGGTATGTATTGAGCACTCACCACAAAAAAGTACAGTGAACACTCAGTAATGATAAGTACACGCAGCATGTTATTTGATGTGTGGGACTGACCTGAATTACTGGGGAAATGATCATGACCTATGCTATAATTAACGGGAGCCACGCTTTGGAAATCTGTATTGTACTGGATTCAGGGAAATCCACATGTATGACTCCAGTGGGGGAACAGCCTAAGGCTGGGCTCCCTACTTGACTGCGTTTGAGGGGCTGAGTGATGTAGGGCTGAACTGGGGGAAATGCAGGAGCCGCACAAAGTTTCAATAGGGCTCAGAGTTCGGCATAAGGGTTTGGGGTCAGCGTTGAGTGTCCGAAAAGTTGTAATCTGGTCACGAACCCCGCACAAACCTCCCTCACCATGCCTGCACGAGGGCCCTGGGCTTTGAGGAGCTCATGATGGGCTACTTGGAAACCCATGATAATTTGTTTACACTCGTAGTTCCTCACCGTGGCCTCCAGCACGGTGCGATGGCCCGGATGCAGGTCGCGGAGTGACAAGCTCATGTTGTCCAGGACCTACGAGTCATGAGCATCCGGGAGGATGTTCTCTGACAATGGGGGGGGTGGAGGGGGGTTCAAAAAATTGGGGTCTCTCTTTCGCGGGTCCCGCAGAATAATGAATAGTGGTTATAGTATCTTGGGGGTAGATGAGGGGGGCCTGCCCCCCTGATGTTGGCAACTCCCATGTACTCCCTCAACCCTGAGGACCCAAGCAATGGGACCGGCACCTTCCTTCTGGACAACATACCTTATGCCCTATACAACAGAAACTCAGCTTCTGCACAAGAGCGACGAACCATATGCGCCGCTGCTAAGATAACTCCAGTGAAAAGAAGCCACCACAATTGGCTGATGGAGTCAAGTGCTCTCCTTTAAATACTGACGTGTGGAGGGCTGGGGATGCCAAAGCTCCTGGGCCTTCAGGTTTAAGATCCAGAGATGTTCAAGGTATGTGATGTGAAGTATGCTCTGCTTATAGCCTGGCATTCTGTCGAGTTCGTTCGTCTATTGGTAGAACTCTCTGCTGGCAGATGCAAACGAAAAGCGCATCTTTGCAAGGGATGCCCACGTTGTTGGAAAGATGTAAAAAAGCTTCCTGCCAGGCTCGCACTACCCGTACAGAAAGACATCACACATGAAAGTCGCAGCAGTCCTTCAATCGGAATTTCGCTGCTGGAAGTTTCATTGGTAGTTTTTGGTGGGATACATAGTACATGGGACATCTGTACGTAGATTTCATCTAAGGCATGGAACGGCCCAACAGGTCTTTTAAGAACATGTATATTTGGCTAAAGGCTGTTGGAGCAGATTCGCAAGCAACGCGCAGACAACGTCGGCACATGCATCATGATACTGAGAACTCACACGATCCAGAGGCAGTAGTAGGAGGTAGAGGAGCAAAAGGAGCAGTCATTGGGAGAGGCGGCAGCAGGTAGCAGTGAACAGCGACAGTCATTTTCCAACTTCATCCCAGCCTGGGTAATGAGCTTGACCGCCACGCTTCCCTGCTGGTTCTTGAGGCATAGCCCCGAATAGCCAACTATGAGCTGCAGCACCTCGTTCAGGGTCCATGGCTCTTTTTAATTGTAGGATTTACAAGGTTTCGAGCCTTCAAGTTCATCTTAGACTTCAAGCGCTTGCATATAGGTTTCGGACCGTATAATGTCCATTCGAAAAAAGCATGAAACAGCTGTCGAAAGACTGAGGTGCTAGACAACAATTTAGCAGGCACTGCAGATCGTACTGAGAATGATACCAGTTCGCGCTGTATTCAACATGACAAGTACTCAAAGGCATGATCGGATGGACACTGTTTGGTACATAGTCAGTACAGCCTTGAGCTGCACCCTAAAAACTGTCAATGCCGGCCTTCACTCCAAAACCCTTGCAAAATTAAAGCTACCCTGTCCAAACGAAAATGCAACACCCCAAAAAAGATTGCTGTCCTTTGTAAAATGTTCCAGATTAGTTTGAGGGAGGGTATACATCCTCAAACTACCATTTCCCTGGGCACCGTCTCGACCAACAGCGGCTTGCCGCTGACCATAGTGGCGGGGCTTAGCACGTTCAGACTCCTGCAAGCCGGGGAGGTGTTTGGGACGTGGGTAGGGCGGATTCTTAGAAGACTACTCAGGGACCATAATGCCCATCCTGCACGTTAAACAGGATTCCGAAACTATGACTACATGCATGGAAGAGCGTCGTCCCCAAATCTGTGTGAAGCCCCCGAGGTCTGCTCAGGCTTGAAGCACTTTGGTCCTGTGATGGTCCTGATTCCTACATTGAAGAGGCATGCAATCCAAGCGACTCCCCAAAATAACTTAGAAGCCCGTATGAGCGTTTAGTACGCTAATCCGCCCACCCAGGACAATAATCAGGGGGAGGGCAGGGGCTTCAAGTGTCCTCAGATGGATATGAACCAGCCGGATTTCATTGCAAAGAGTCTCAGTGGTGCGGGGTGAAAGCTCAGATGTGCTAAACGTTTGAAAAAAATGTCGTGACTTACCCTGAAGTACTTTCACACTGAGCGTACGCGTGGGCTACACAGAGGGGCGCATCCAACTCATATCTACAATCCGCCTCCTGGTCTCTTGAAGCTTCAGCCACTGGTGACTAGTTCTACTCACCTTGTTCCGCCAAGCCACATTTGACTGCTTTTAAAGGAGGACCCATCCACCTAATAATCGCAAGCCCCTCCCCCACCCTTTAACAACGCATAGTCCCAACATAGTAGCATCATATAATGTGGAACATTATTCGTTAGGCGGGGTGGAAAGGGGGTGGAGTATCAGGAGAGGGGATAGTCAGAATTCATTGTATACCAATTCTGTAACCCTATCACTGTGACGCTAATCTCCTTTTCCATTTCTTTCTCGTGTTTGTTTGCCATGTGATTCTCCAGAGATCAATTCAGAACCAAAAGAGCACAATCTACTAAACTCCTAGTATCCCCCTTGATAACCCCTACCTTATAACAGCCCCCTGTAGAATCCCCTCCATAACCCCCTTCAGGGAGTTGAGACTATAGCTCATAAATCCACTAAACCCTAAACTCTATATGAAAAAACATTCTCTTTTACATGATTACATAACCTCGATATATCCCCCATATTACCTTCATACCCTAAACCCTAAACCCCAATGCCTGTCTTTGCACCTATCCCCTTCCCACAGGGTCCCAGGAGTGGCAGACTCCAGAAGCTTGATGCAGGCGGAATACCTTCGAAGCACAATGGTATATGAGCTGTGGTCTCAACTGCTTAAAGGGGATTATATAGGGGATTCTATAGGGGACTACTCTAGGTTTAGACTAGGGCGGTTGCGGTTCAGGGCGAAGGTTTGGTGTTGAGGGTTCTATATACATGGAATGGCTTTTTTGGGTGGGGGTAAAGCGGGCCGAAGCCATGTTCGATGAAAGCCAAACAAGAGCGATTTTGTACACTCAGGGAATGCATCTACCTAGCTACTAGTGGCAGGCAATAGTCTCATTTTCTTTGTAACTAGGTGACTTCAAGAATGATGTGAAGGTTGATGATGGCACACTCCTGATGCCTTTCCTTAAGAACTGGTATACCATGCTTAGCTATAGACGGATTACTAGGACACTCGAATTCATGTGGTCACTCATCAATGCGGTTCGACCTATATCACCCAAAATAATGTGATCCACATGTTTACGGCACACAAAGGAAAACGGCAAAGCTTTAACAAAAAAGCTGTCAGTACGCTCTCTGTCTCCAAAGATTGGTGCGTGGGCTTCTGCGAGGCACAGCACAGAAATTCTGCATCCACCTACTTGGAGGGGCACGGGGGCTTAGCAAGTGGGTTAATAGAACCTATGAACCATATAGAGTTACCTATCTATACCCCCTACGAGCCCACTTGCGAAGTCCCCCCGACCGTAAACCCTAATCCCTAAATCCTGAACCCTCATCTCTAAACCCTAAGCGCTAAACCCTTAGTAATATAGTAGCTATCCCCAGTACTCACCTCCTTACTAAGTCCCCCCTGACCCTCCCCCTAAGGCCTTGGAAAGCCGGTTGCTAACCCAAGATGACAGTCCCAAGCTTAAGTGGAGGAGCCCCAGACATGGGATAACAATGGTATAGTGTTGGAGGTTTAAGGTGATGTCCCAGGTTCCCAGTACAATGCTAGACCGCAAGTATTGCCGGTTCTCTCACTGCCAGTCACCAGATGTTTTCAGAACTGTACACCTTCATGAATTTCCTGCCCCTGAAAACGTGAGCGCTGCACCCCCACAGCGAACGCCTTACCAACTTGCATCCATGATATCCCTCGCGAGCTGGTCGAACCTGATTAACGCTGAGAGCGGATGCTGAGGTCGTTGCTGCCCCTGCTTCTCGAAGTCGATGTACTGCTGGAGCACGCGCTGCGGCAAGAGCTGAAGCACCTGCCAGACATTTGAGTTGATTGGGAGTGGGGATGTATTTTTAGATGCCTAGCTACTACCACCCATTTCATGGCTGAATAGAAAATGAAAATATTCCAAGTTCTACGAGGTGGGGCGGCTGCTCCTCACGCTCTCTCAGCCATGTCGATGCGGTTAAAACGAGATGTTAGGGCTTGAGTTTGGGGATCATGGATCTTCGCTTTCGAGTTGTCAGAAGCCCTGCCATTGCCTTCATGATCCTTCCTGCATGGTGTTGTGGATATATATATATACATATCTATCTAGTGTGCACGCGACAGCCTTCTACGCTCAACATTGTTGACTTCATGTTCCGCCCGTTTCATTGGAAGGCATCCGCAGAATGAGATAAAACTGGATCCTTGCAGAACAGCTCCGGCAATGTTGGCAGGATCTCATGGCTTGCTAGGTCCCTGGTTTCTGCTGGGACAAACCGGAGTCTCCCATAGCCCTGCTGCCCTAAGCCCTAAACCCGAAATCTTAAACCCTAAACTTCCTAACCCTTTGAACTCCCCATAAGAGACGCTCCAGTCAGGGAGTCCTTTCTTGAGCCCTGGTTAGGGTTAAGGTTTACGGTATAGGGTTTTTGGGTTTTGGGTTTAAGGTTTAGGCTTTTGGGTTAAAGGTTTTTGGTGTTGGGTTTCAAGCTTTGGGTTTTGGGTCTCCCAAAACATACAATCCCAAGGGAGGTGATGTAGAGAAGTGATCACCCTTGCTACTACTTGTTACTAATTCAGGACTGGACCGACGCGACCAGCTCCAAAACGTTCCCCCAACACTACTTGGAGGCTCATGGGACTTGGTAACCATTGATAACTGGGATTCTAACCCTACTTAGAGTCCCCCTAAATGGTCTTATAGGGATTGCCCCAGTTATAGGTAGGGTTATACTCCCAGTTATAAGTAGTTACTAAGTCCCATGGGCCTGGAAGTAGTAAAATGGAATTTTGGCAACTCCAAGCCTTGCAATAAGCAATCCGTAGGGAAGAACGAGTGGACAAGGATATGCAAACCCTAAACCCTAGACCCCTAAACCCCTAGACCCCCTAAACCCTAAACCCTACACCCTAAACCCCAAACCAAACGATTATAGTTTTGAGAGAAATGCAAGGGCTAGCTAGGAATCCAGGCCTCCATGCTCTGCTGGGGGTTACATAGGGTCTAGGGTTTAGGGTTTAGGGTTTAGGGAATAGTGGAAAGGAACATGGGAACTACTACAGTATATTGGGATTCTACAAGGAATAATGGAGAAGAAAATGGAAACTACTATAGTATATTGGGCTCTATAGGGAATAATGGAGAAGAAAATGGAAGCTGCCATAGTTAGACCCTAAACCCTATCACTATCACGTGACTCTTAATGGGGAACCAAAAAGATGACCCCCCGTAACCCCATGGACTCATTGGGGTAATATTAGAGTTATATTGGGGGTATATGGGGAGAATGGACAACAAAAAGAAAAGTACGATAAGGGGGTATATAGGGTTAACAGGCCCCTTGCCTCCCTTTCTTTTGAGATGTTCTTGTCCGTTTGCTTTGCGATTCCCTACTAAGAGCCAGTAAGAGAGAGCGCCTTTGCGCGGTAAGCTGCGAACCGATGTGCTTTGATTGGCAGCCAGATAGGCTTGCACCTCAGGGCGTTGAGTTGAAGTTTCTCTACTTCCCCTGGACGTCATAAAGACAGCTCTACATGTCCCTATATATCCCTCCACGTCACATATACCCCTAAATATATCATGTCCCTGCACATCCCTATCTTTGCCTATGCTACATCCCTATGCATCCCTCTGTATCCTTATGAGGGGCTTTGCTGAGGTGATTGGGGCTTCGACTTGGCGCCCGTGGCTGAGGGCTGTATAGAAATTGGTGGGGCCTTGACCTACGAGCGAAATTATCTTCTTCTTGTAGGCACTACAACCAACAGGAAGGACATATTCTTACTCGGTATTGGGAACTATTATAATACTTAATCTATATTGGGGGGGGGGGGGCGAAAATCATGGAATTTACAAAATCAGGGCAGGGCAGCATGGCTACTATGTCTTGTCTTGGCTTCTGCTGCATTTTCATGCGTAGCTGTAGCTAGGCTGCAAGACGCTTGTTCTTCAAGCCATGGACAATTTCTTGGTTGCTATGTAGTCTCGCAATAAAGTTTAGTTTTTTTGCTCCCCTTACATGGAAAGGAGGAAGCCCAACAATTGTACAGAACTAAACTTGTAGCGAAGTCCCAGGCATGCTCGTGGAACCACCTCGGAGCTCAAAAGGATGAATCCCAAGCCTCAGAACCCCAAGGCCATGAACCTCGAACCGCGATGGCGAACCCAATGTTTGCAATATCCCTACAGCCCCATGCCAGTCTTGCAGCAAGGTCACCTGGACACACAGAAGTTCGTGTCCAACTTTGGCCGCCTCACATTGAGAAGCAAAGGATCTGCGTTTCTGAAAAACTCTGGGTATCTGATCAAGGGAGCTGTTCAGGGATTAGACTTCAGGCATATGGGGAGGGTAGTTGTTGTTGTTGCGGTTGTGGTTGTGTTTGTGGTTGTGGTTGTGGTTGTGGTTGTGGTTGTGGTTGTGGTTGTTGTTGTTGTTGTTGTTGTTGCTGTTGTTGTTCATTCTTTGGCAGTTTTGGGGCTTCCTGACACAGGCAGAAAGATCCTCATGTTCTTGGGGTATATATGAGGACCATGGATAAAACAGCTACCTTCCTCGGAGATTATAAAGACTTGGAGGCCTGCCCGCAAAGTCTTGTTACCTCATGGTGCGAAGACTTTAGGGTTTAGGGTTTAGGGCTCCACGTCATGGACTACTAAATCATGTCAAAGCCCGAATGCCAAGAGTGTGCTTCCAGGTGCCCCCATCTTGTCTTGCAGCCCGCCTTCCCATATGAGCTCTAGTCTAAACTCACAGTATCCCCGTAATACCCCCTAATATAGACCTGATATAATTCCCTAGATTACCCCCCCTAAAGGAGTTTAGACTATAGCTCACATGGACTTCTGTTGTGCATAGGACACTCTTTCCGACTTTACAATCCCACAGGGTTTAGGGTGTTCAGTATGTACTAGCCTTAGTCACTGATCTTTGTTAACTGACTGGGGGTTAGTAGACAATAAGGGCATATAATCCCTATATAACCTGTACATACTATATTCCCTTATTCCCACCCTAAACCCTATAACCCCAAACCGCAAAACCTTATTCCCTACTAACCCCCAAGTAAGTTAAGGTAGCTGCAGCGCTAAGATTGGAACCAGATCTAAGAAGTGCTTGTTTCTCGGCTCCACGGTTTAAGACTGTCCTTAAACTGGCCTGATTAAAAAGTTAGTAGAAACCCTTTTGCTAATTGTAGCAACTGTTATTGTAAAGGGGAATGACTCAAGGTATACAAAGGAATTATGGTGTATCCATTTGAGCTACAGTCTCAACTCCCAGTATCCCCCGCAATAACACTTTATAGTCCCGCTGTGACGCCCCTTTGGGGGGTTTGGACTACGGCTCACTTGGGCTGAGGGTGGGGGATTTCCCAGCTTTAGAAGTTCCTTTCAATTAAAACCTTCTACTGATTGTGCAGTGCTTGTGCTGTACACGGAGTGGGATGTGCACAATACAAATATTCTCGTAAAATTGTGCAAGTCGTTTGGGATTTTGAATGAGGTGGACTATACCAAAATGCCCTCATATTATCCAAAAGCTGCCCAATGTAGACCCGAATTTATGGGAAGCCCCAAGAAGGTGCTTTTAATTTCGGGAAACCCTAATGCCTATAAACCACTATATAATCCCTGTCCCCTTTCATTTCCATTGTCTTCTGCATCTGATTCTCCATTATTGGGGAGATATCACGATATGACCCCTGTAATCCTCTAAACCGTTTTTTGCCATATAGCCCCTACAATATACATATATGCGCATATATATAACCCCTATATGACCCTATATCCCCCTGAAAGGTACTCCAAACTTTTGGAAACCCACCCTAAGCCCTAAACCCCTAAACCATACACCCCTAGATCCCTAAATCCTAAATTTGGGAAACCCCCAAATCGACATAAACCCCTAGACCCCTGAATCCTAAATTTTGGGAAACCACCAAGTCGACCCCAGCTCAAGGTTCCGGCTGCTTAGCCGGCGTCGAAGAAGTGCCGGGCCGACTGCCTCGCCGACAGCGCTGGGTTTCCCACGCTTACTCGCGGTTAAGGTTTAGGGTTGAAGGCGTAGGGTTTAGTAGGGGGTAAAACAAGGGAATCTAATCCCTCGTTCCCTGCTGACCCGTGGTGGTCGGGTGTGGGGTTGAAGGGATTCTGGATTTGGGGGTTTTGGGCTTGTGGCTTAGGGGTGTAGAGGTTTGAGGGGTGGGGTTGGGTTTTTGCTTGGGGATTTAGTGCTTAGGGCTCCAACTTTGGGGCTCAGGGTTTTGGATGTGGGTTGGGTTTTTTCACTCCTTTTTCCAACTGCAGACAGCTAGAATGCGTATGGGGTTTAGGGATTAGGGTTTAGGGTGGTTCTGTATGGTTTCGGGTGTATTCCCCAAAACAAGGCTCGCAAAGGATAGGTGTGGATTTTTGGGTATTCCACGGGGGGTGCCTCCCTGTACAGCCAAAGAAACGAGAGACTTTGTGTCGGGACTTTCATCAACTCCATGAGAGCTATAGTCTAAACTCCTAGTATCCCCCTTAGCAAACCCTATGATGCGCCCCTTTTTATTCCCCCTATATAGTCTCCTTAAAGGAGCTTGATTATGGCCCATGAAATCCTGGAGCTGCTCAAAAGGAGTTCCACCAGAGAGTGCTGCTGAAAGTTAACCCCTCAAACCCTAAAACCATAAACCCTTGACCCCACCCAACCGGTTCTGTCCATGGGAGTCGATCAAACAAAGATCACCATCCTGTCATAGCCAGCATCAAAATGACCACGGGGTGTTATACAAGAGTTCGTTAGGAGATATATGAGGTTATATAATATAACATAGGTATTAGTGATATAGGGTGATACATGTGGGTAGTGTGTCTTGGTGGGAGAAGCAAGTAAGACTGTGTCCCTCCAGTAAATACTGTGCTAGAGACAATGGTCTGCCATTCCAAATTCCTCTCATGTGCAGCAAGAACAGGCTGGTTTTAGAAGCTCGCCAGCTAAATGTTGCGGGCTGCCTGCACAACAAAAGCTACGCGTGGCAAAGGTAGCAGAAGAATCACAGATCTTGAAACCCTCCTTCAGAGAACCTCAACACGCGCGTCTAAGCTATGGCTTTTACAAACTGGTCATCTCCGGGTTTCTGCAGCTGTAACAAGGGCATGTGTTTCTTAGGGCTTTCAGTGCTTCAGCAGAAGCCCGGACTGTGAAAATGTGGTGCCGCGCACTACACGGATACAAGAGTTTTTGGAGTTCAGCAGGCCTGGACATCCCTCAAACCATCAAATCACAGACACCAGACGAAGTGGCACATCTGCTGAAATCCTTTGGAGTCAAACATTTACGTCCTCCGCGTCGGGGGTTCCTGGAGAGCGTCCCACGTATGCGGAGGTGTCAAAATTTTCTGTGAAACTGTCGCCATAGCTTTGCTCTCCAAACAAAGCCCTGCGACCGTCACAAATCTGTTGTACATGCACTTGAACTGAATCAATGCTCTCTCATTTAAAGGAAGAGATGCACCTTGGCAAAATCACAGGGCACACATGAACTGTAGTCCAAACTCCTAGTATCCCCCATAATAACCCTATAATACTCTACTATGTAAGCCCCTATATAACCCTCCCTTTAAGGACTTTAGGTCTGAAACCCTGAACCCTAAATACAAGGGGTTGTATGCAGCTAAGACTATGGCTCACATGAGAGTCGAAATGCTGCCAGCTGCCATGAGCATGTTGCGATGATGACACTTGGAGGGTCAGGGAGACTTGGCCTGGTAATAATGGAAAAGAAAATGGCAACTACTTAGGGTGTGGGATTTAGCTTGAGGATTTCGGGTATTTGGGGTGTTCCATCAATCTTCACACAAATCTGCTACTCCATGCTACAGTGATCTGACGTGATGCTTTCTATGACTTGAAGAAGTCCTGTGGGGGAGGCTTCGTGCATGGCTGTGGGTGGGATGCTAGTATGAAGTCGGCCTAAAACCCTAAGCCCCAAACCCCGAAGTTTGAAGTCCAAGGACTCCACTACGGGTCGTGCCCCTTGCCACGGCAATTCTAGGGATCCTACTTTAAGCGTCAGGAGACTTCGCAATGTATACTGGAGAAGAAACTGGAATTTACTCTAGTATTTGTGCTTTGGGGTTTAGGGGTGAGGGTTAGGGGGATTTAGTAAGTAGGGTAACAATAGGTATACCTAGGGTTGCTACTTGGTTTATAGGGGGTGATAACCTACTCACTAAGTCCCCCTAACCCTGAAAGTAGGGGTATGTGGGGACTTGCAAAAGGAATATGTACTTAAGGACACCGGCTGGTGGGTAGCGAGGTGGTGCGTACCCCCGTGGAAGCCTCAAAGAAAGCTCGTACAAACATAATGGGCTGTCATGAGGTCTACATAGGCCTCCTATTCAGGACACCCACCGGATGGCTACCCACCTGCAGCAGGCGTCCTCGAAAAGGTGGATCGTGCTATGGATGGTTTATGTGGACTTCTTGCGAGCAACCCCCTTCCCTACACATTGCCGTCCCGACTCTCTGAAACTTCAAGTCCAACGCAGATAGTTCCAGTGAAAGCGGGCATTTACGGCGATGTGACGACTCTCCTACACGGCTTGCGGGGGGCCCAGAAGCATGAACACCAAAGCCACTGTTTTCCTCCGACTTGGCTCAATATATTCGACAATACCACTATGTCAAGACGTCCGCCGAGCCCAGAGTGGACCTTAGGGAATTTGTCAAACAGGTGTCCCCCTCAAACAACCTCTGGAAAACCAGGACCCCCGGACAGAGGCCTTTGAACTTGGTGCACGAGCTTTGTAGAGAAACTGCTCGCAAGATAAGCCAAAACTCTCTGTACATTTGCGAAACACCGACCTCATCGCACTGCTTTTCCTTGACATGTTCTTCAAGCAGTAGAAGTCCGCTACATAACGAATTCCCTACAGTTGCTACTCGCCGGAACTCTTTCCGGGGTTGCTGCTTTAAAGATTGGGGTTTAGGGTTTAAGCTATTCTGTGACATAGGCACCTCGGGCGACCGCCAGCTTTTCAGGGGTAGCCGGTGCGCGCTTTCTTTCTTAGCCTCCGGAGCGGCTCACAAGGCTTCAATTCCCCCCGTAAGTAGATAGAATATGGCGGGGTAGATGGGGAACTTATTGTGTGTTTTGGGAAATTCCCCCATATCCCATACAGCCCCAATATAACCCCAAAATGACCAAAATATAACTCCATATTCTATCTACTTCAGAGGAACCATCGGATGTCACACCAACAAGCTACA